TTCTATTTTGAGATGAATAATATAATATATTCGTATATTAATTGTATAGTTTATTTTCGTCCTATAAGAATTATCGACCAAATATAAGAGACTATTCTTTAATGTGTCGGTCTTTTTATTGTGTTCATCGGCGACAATTTTTCGAATGATAAGTGTACACAGCGGAAGCAAAGTATACAGTATAAAAATTGTAGAAGATATTAGAAATTTATTTTTTAGCTGAAAAATAATATTCAAGCCATGAATAAATTGTGATCTATTTTTCTTACTAACTTATCTATTTTTCTTTTCAGTTTTATCTCCAGTACTGTAAACAAATAACCACTATTGTATTATGCTGGTAAAAAATGCATTATAGGATTTTCATAGATATTTCAACGTGAAAATAAATCATTTAATAACTATATTGTTTAGGTAAGATGAAAGTAGAATGAAAAGACATTTTGTGTTAAAGACACCCATCAAATCGGAATTCAAATCACAAAAACAACATAGATATATATATATAATGTATACTAAAAGATTCTACGAAAGAAAAAACATTAAACAGTATCAAATCCATAGTTTTTTTTCCATATCTTGTTTTTGGAATTTATTTTAATAGATGTATTTGAGTTGAAATATATTCATAAAAATTTTCGTAAGAATCCTTTCAGAGTGTTTGTTCCACATACAACTACTGTATAACAAAGATTTACAAATCCATTGAAAGCTTTGGAAACTAATCGAAGATCAAAAAGCATTCTAAAAGTTTTTTAAAATTCATAAACTTTTCCTTTTTTCAGAAGATCTATTCTGACCTCCGATTGCGATTTTGTAAAATTATAGGAATTCTTAAAGGATTAGATTTGCCTAAAATGTAGGATTTTCGAGAAAAAATGAGAAAAATATAGCACTTTTTACACATAGTTTCTGTTCAATTGCTTTGGTTTTTTTTCACTTCTCTGCTCGAAGATCACAATCGCCTTCTGTTTATTGCTTTCATATAGACTCGCCATTCTTTAAATTGTTTCTATCTACTCGTTATCTTGCTTTTTTTTTTCGAATTTATTGTTCTCAGTCTAATATATCTATTAACATGATCATGAAATTTCATTGATAAAGAATAAATAATGACTTCTGTATTGGCTATATTATATATCTCAACAAATTCACTAACACTTCAATTTCTCAGAATTATTACCTGGTAGATTTTGGAGACCCGAGAAAGCATAATGTCTATTCACCGTTTTCATGAAAGTTAGTACGAAGGTAGTTAATACCTGCAATAAGAGTTATCAGCAATGGATAGAAAGTGTAAATAAACATAACTATTATAGAATAATTGATGGACAGATCTTAATTAATTAGACATCTCACTTAGACGATAGTCTGTAATGAGTTTGTCTGCAAAAGGAAGAATCGGAGATGAGGAACCAGGAAAACTGGAAATTAAAAGTTTCATTCGCTATTTTCTTCGAAAATATATATGTGAGTTCTACAAAGTAAATACTATTTCTTATAATTGAACTTTTTCGGCATTATTTTTCCTAAAATGATAGGCGATGGTTTATTATTTCATTTTTTTATGCCTCGAATAAGTGTTTTATTTATCTTTGACATATGATTGTAGATATATATATTATATATAGAGCCTCATATTCCCCTAAAATTTCGCTAAAGATTCGAATCCAGTATATAATGATCTTGGGAATGTTTTCCTTTTCAAGCATTTTGTACTGAACGTTAATTTCTGAATTAGCCCACTAAATAAGGGAAAAGAAAAATACTTTGTTTAAAGAAGATGTCATTATAATATGAGAAATTGCTTAAAACAAATGATTACATACGTACGAAGTTCTTTTTCATCAAAAGACAATAGCAAAATTTACGAGTTTGGCCAAATTTTCTACCTTTTCTGATGAAATATAGGAAATACAGGATTCTTTATGAAAATATAGAAAATATAGGGTTGAATTGGAATCCAGGATCTATCGATTCTGTTCATGTATATATCCTATCGTTTCTTACTTAGATAAGACGAGTGAAAATAGTGCCAAATTTTTTGCTTTAAAAAATATAAAATCAAAGTAAGCCCATGGAGTAAAATATTGAAGAAAACGGACTGCGTAACGCGTTTCCGAGATTGTAGCATGCGTTTCGCAACGTTTTTTCAATATAGGACGCGTTTCGCAGCATTCTTACTTACATAAAATGCGTTTTGACACCGCCGTTTTTTGAAACGATCGGAAACGCTTTTTTCTAGAATGCGTTTCGAGGCGTTTCCGAATTAAAATGCTGTCGAATGCACTTTGGTCGACAGGCGACGCGTTTCACAGATACAAATTGGGAAAAACGTGAAACGCGTTTCTTTTTCAAACGTGTGTTGCATTGTTTTTGCTTGAAATGATGCAAAATATATCCGTTCTGCATACAGAATCTTGCAGAAATTCACCAACACAAAGCATATGAGTTAAGCAAAGTAAATTCTTTAACATTACTTTGGAAATGATATGAATTAGCACTTGAAATTTTTGCTCCTTGCACTATTCTTGTACGTGAAAATCATGGCCCATACTGTATGAAGGCAAGACTAAAATCGAAGTCTTCTAAATTTTTAGGTTGCTGGGCTGTTATCTAGGCCTGATTCGAAGTTAGACTAATGTAAAGCATCAGAGTGTAACAAAAATATATTCTTCTTACTTAAAAACTCATTTGACCACGTTTTTATTGAAAGAAAACGTGTTTCGTAAGGTTTAAGTAAGAATCGTTTTAAATATTGAGCATTTCGAAAAGATTTAGTAAAGACTGATACTAACATAATTAGTATGGCAACTCTCTTTGGTTATTTGTAAACAAAAAAATTATCGTGTCATTTATAATTTGAATAATTATTAGTATGAGTTCATACTCGGACTAATTGATAATGACTAATGATACTGTGTACAATATTAATAAACATGATTTTAGTTTGTATATTGTTGCAGTAAGAGTGACTTTTTAATAAAAGAAATTCGACTTACAAAAGAAAACTCCTTTCATTTATTGATGTAATTGGATAAAACGATGACGGATTTACATTTACAAAAATCTATTAAATCAAGAAAATAAATAAAAGATTAAATTTTAAATTTTTGAAAATTTATATATAAGAAATTTATTTTTTTAGATATTGAATACAATTTAAATCGATTAAATTCGTTTCAATTGGGTATCTAAATTTAAATCTGAAAGAGTTTAAATAAAAAATGTATCAAGAGAAGACCACATTCGTAACTGGATATAGGCACCAAAGAAATGATAATTTTTAATTCAGTGGAACGGAAACTGAAAAATCTAATTTAAAGTTTACGCGAGACTCTAAATGACAGTAGAATAAACACTTATATCATTAGATTATTTTAGTTGAACGGTTTGTATATATGTCTTACACTGCTATGTTCTCGTGTTCGAATCCATGTCTTGACTTCATTAAAATTCATGTAAGTTATAGTTCTAAAGGTCCATGAAAAAATGTAAACGAGTACATAAATTGAACGTGCAATTCATGATCTATGAAGTCATTGACGGTTCTCAGTTTTTTTTTCTATCTAGAATATACGACATCGCAGTTTGAGAAACGCTGCGAAATTTTTCAGAAAAACAATCGTTACACAGCGTTCGTTTTAGCAGATGTGAAACGCGTCAAACCGGCCAGCATTAACGCGTTTCGCATCTATGGAAAAACCCGTTTTCAGAACGCGTTTTTTTCGCAGAAATTTACGCCATGGGAGTAACGTTCAAACACATAGAGATAAAAACATGAAGCTAAAATATGTTATTCCGTTCGTAGCGTAGGCGGCGGAGCCACAAGGGTGTGGGTGTGGGTGCGAGTCTTCTCTAAATTGACTCCCACACCCACACTCACACCCACCCACACCCTCACGCACTGGGTAGGGATGCACCAATTCAAATTCCAATCAATTCCAATCAATTCCAATTCTTAGAATTGGTTGGAATTGGAATTGGTCGGAATTGGAATTGGAATTAGAATTGGTTAGAATTGACTGGAGTTACCTAAAATTCGTAAGAAATCCCAGGAATTGGTCTGAAACTGGCTAGACTAAATTTTAAAATATTTTTGTCAACAAGTGAACGATAGTAAACAAAAAAAAGTAAACAGAGCAACAGAAGTAAATCAATATGAACAAATCACTGAACAGTTATAACATGAATGTATGAGCAATCGCTTTTAACTTTTGTATATTATCATTTGTAGAATTTTCTAAAATCTGTAAAACTCCGAATGCTGTCAGCAGTTACCGGGATCTATTTTTTTGGGATTTATTGAGTTTTATTGGGAAGTTTTTAATAAATCCATATACGTTTTTAAATAGATCCCACACTATTTTGAGGGTGAGGGTGACGAGGCAGCAATCGAGTGAGGATGCACGAAAATCTTGATGCAGTTAATAAGTCCCATAAACCCCCATTGAATAAATAAATCCTAATAAATCCTGTAAAAGAAATAAATTCCAAAAAAATAAGTCCCGGTAGCCCCTCATTTACAGATGTTCAGTAAAGTTGATTTGGACCAGCACTAGCAAACGTTCAGCGTGGAGACAAGTATTTTTGTCTTGAGTTATCTAGGACACTGGACTCGATTGTTATTCTGAGTGAATTTAGTTAGACGGCTTCGCCATTTAGTCATCCAGGTATTGTAAATTTTCTTTGACGTCGCTCGCAGCTAGGTTTGCACTAAATGATCTGCGCATTGTCGCTAGACTCGTGCAGCTGTTCTATGCTTTAGTTTAGTTTAAAAAAAACGAAAGTTGCATTCAAAAATCGAAATCGCAATTTTCTTACAAAATCGCTTTTCAAGGTTGAAACCGGAGATGTGTCATCTAGCACAACCAATTACTATAGGCTTTGATATTGTTTTTCAAACTAAACCCTATAAATATTCTGAGTGTGTTCTGTCGCTACTCATTGTTGTCTTCACAATAACTCAAAACCTAAAAACATTAAACATTTTCGAAATCATGAATACTCTAACAGTTCTTCTTTTCTGTGCCACGCTGGCTCTCTTGGTATTTGAAGCTGTTGCGTTCGAATCTGTTGCTGAACGAACAAACGGTAATGTCTTTTCAGAGAGAAAAACATCTATAGTACCAAAGATGTTGTCGATGAGTTTCCGCTTAGTTGAGTTACATAGAAGTGCTACTACTTTAGAAAAAAACTAACTCCAATTAAAAATGCTCTCATCTCATAACACATGCCTAACCTATCGTTTTGATAAAAACTGCTAAAGTACTTGATTGCATGTCTTCATTCTTACTACTAGTGTTTGAAACGTTATACAATTTATTTTCTCCTATTTTTTTTTAAATAGCAAGAGCAAACATTCGTGCCAAGCAGAAAGTGCGAGAATGCCGTTGCACTTTTCGAAACGCTCCACAAGAACTCATGAATATCTGTCCAGACCGGGTATATGCCTCCAATGACCAGAACGATGTTGGTGCTTGTCAAAAGGATGCAAAAAATACCGCCCCAGTAGCTTGTCGTCAATATTATGGACATTGTGGTTGGCTTCAATAAAGCAGTAGCAATGCTTAAAGACGCTCGCAGACACATACATTATTTACCTTCACTATCTTTGAGATATTTTGTCTTTCTACTAACTAAATAAACAAGCCTAGTAACTATGTAGGGAGAAAAATCATGTAATTCTGTCTTTTTTCACCACTACTCAGTTTCTTTGAATTGAAATTCATCGTTCTCCTCTTGTGACTTCTGTGAATCCTCTAGTTTACGCCATGCATGCGAGTAAAGTCTGCCTGGTGAAGGAGTATTCATGAGAACCTGTGCAGGTTCTTCGCCAAATTGATATACAACTTCGAGTCAGTTGCGCCAAGCATAAGGCCCGGATTGACGAAGGTGTAGGTGTATAAAGGAAGAGACGACCCACACCCATATCCTCTCTCAAACAAAAGAAAAAATTAAATATATAGAATAAGCCCGGACAGAGAAATTTGATTCACCAAATATGCTATTTTTGACTCTTGTTCTTATGAATATCTCAGCCAAACCTCATGATATAGGGCGGAGAATTTTTTTGTATATAGGAGGGTGTGGGTGTGGATAAAATGGAGACTCACACCCATGCCCTAGTTTTATAACATTGATTTAAGTCGATCAAGTCAGAAAAGAATTGTCTTTACTTTAATCTAATATAATGAACAAAAATTATTATATGAATAATAAAATATGATAATTTAGTAAATTCATCATAGAACAAGCTTTTCTAATTCATTGATGATAAATAAAACATTTCAATTTATAATTTACGTGACAAGTCACGAAACCTCTTAATTATAATCAGCGAATTATTTAGTTGTAAATATTAAAAATAATGTATCGCCAAATATTTATTATTAGGTTTGGGTGGATGTAGGTGTCAATCTTCTATTCTTCGCATTCTCAACAATTAGAATAAGATTTGAATAGCAAAGGTCGTGCGCACTTTGTATTATAAGAATCGAAAAAAAAACTGATGAAGGAACTCGATTTATTTACTTCTTTTTTTTCAGATGACGCTTTCTTGAAGGTCATTATATTTTTGCCGTTCTCTATTACAAAGATGA